CGATAATAGCTTGATAAATGTATTTTTTTTACAGTTTTTCAAATTCAAGTTGATTGAGCGATAATGTAGCACGTTATCACGTATTATGTTCTTTACTTTTCTTTCGACCTATACCTACATATTTTGATGTGTGCGTCAAGCCGAATTAAGCATTTTTTTGCGAGAAGTTATATGTTCTATATCATATGTTGTCCGGATTACCAATGTCTACAAGTATTACTTACCGTATGCAACGATCAATAAATCCCGATAAAAAACGATCAACCGGCTCTCTAGTGACCATAATAAACTTCCACATCGAGGTATTTTGTATATTTAGACGTTGAATCATTCCATCCACATTTTTAAATCTGTTCTCCTTATGGCATAGCCTGCAAAATAAAAATGCATTCTAAAAAATTTCATTAGCGACCTAGTTATATTAGAACTTACTCAATATCTGGTAGTTCACGAAGAAGATTACGTCCCTCATTGATGAATTCTTTCTCACGGAGAAGATAACAGAAGATGGCTGACATTACCGTTGACATGCTTTTCGTGACCAAGCATGCCATTAAGTGATAATTAGGAGCTGTCTGCAATACATAGTATTTTTCAAAACTAGTATCTAATACAAACATCACGTTGGAAAGAACTAATCAAATCTGATATTTTAGTTTTCCAAACAAGAAAGTCATCCGTAAGATTTCATTCTTTTTTATATCGCTGACTTTTCAAGAATGAACTTTCGATAGTGACTAAACATAAAAACACTAGTCATCATGGCTTGAACTAATCCGGTTAATACCATCTCTTGTCTTAAGAGGTGTTCTTTTTGGAGGACAATAACACTGACTTCAACAGATTTCTAATGATTAATCCCGCATACTACTGTTATAAACCCCATATGCATCAAATGCTCTAACATTAAAAAAAATATTAGCACATGCACAAAAAAGTGTGAATGATTGCCAAAAAAAATCCCTCTCACATTCATGGTAATCTATTACGTTTTAATAATAAGAAGAAGGGAGTTTAAAACACTCAAAAATTTTCACCAGAGATTTTAAATTGCCCAGAAAAACTGCATAAAATAGTGTGATTTTACAGCTTGCCTTTATTTCACTTTCCTCACACTTTCAAACAACTGAGCAGTGTGCCATGATTCTGCTAACTTCTTAAGTATGCAGCTAATGAATTTCTTGCTGTCAAAAAATTGCAAATGTTAGATGTTTACAACCTTAACTTCTAGGGTTCTTCTTGTGGACATTATTATCGATCCC